AGCACTTAATAACCAATGGCATGGGATCTTTGGTATACGTGTTGGGGTTGTTGCAAACAACCAATATTCTACTTTCTCTCATCTCCTGAGCATGCATCAGACAATTTTGAGGTTCCTAAAAAGAAATCAAAGGTTGTCAAAACTTTGCCACCAAATTTCTATTGATATGTGGCTGAAAGGTTTGTCAGAGTAATGATAACATAAAAAACTGAAGAGAATCCTAAGATGTATAGATATACTAATAGAGATTTGCCCATTCAAGTTTCATCGAGCTATTTTATCAAAAGTTATTCTTCTTCTTAATTTATGTCAACTCTTCTATTATTTATTAACATTTTAATATATTTGAATTTATTATATGGTACAATACAAGATACATTAATACATGTAAATTATCTTATCTAACCTATTAAAACAGCATGCCATAAATAAAAAAGCTTCAACGAAGAATGTGATAAATTACGACATCTATAAAGTAAGAAATTATAATTTTATTTAGTAATAAATTTAAAACATAAGGTTTATAGATAAAAAAAGCTGACCAAGTAACATTTGTGGTAAATTAGACACTTCCATCACTTCAGAGTGAAAGAAACACCCAAAATTCCAAAATTTGAGAGTGGAGGGGGGGGGGAAATAGGTTGTGGGGGGGGGGGGGGGGGGGGGGAATTGCCCCCCCTCACATCCACGTGATTTCGCCATTGCACGTGTAGAATTTCAATGCAAAACTTGAGTTTTGCGAACCAAATTGAAGCATAATTGCTATCAGCCATATTATGAAGCATTAAGCTCCACGCCCCTCACATCTACGTGATTCCGCCACTGCACGGGTAGAATTTCAATGCAAAACTTGAGTTTTGCAAACCAAATTGAAGCATAATTGCTATCAGCCATATCATGAAGCATTAATCTCCATGTTGAAGGTCTGACTGAAATCGGGTAGTGCTGGGACCAGAATTGTGGTCGTTGTCATCTTCAATCTCTCAAGGCCTGAGTAGCTGCTCCCCCCACAAGAAGATGTCCTTCTTTAGTTGCTCTGTCAGAGGCCAAACAATGGTGATGTATCCCCTCACGAATCTCTTGTAGTACCCTGTCAATCCTATGGACTTGCTATATACTAAGATATCATTTAAAAACACCATAACAAACTTCCTGAGGCAAGGTTGAAACTCCTTTTTCATGAGGGACTGGAAGGTAGCACAAGTGCGTTGGTGAGATTAAAGGGTATCACCAAGAACTTATAGTGTCCCTCATTTGTCCTAAAAGCTATCTTGGGAACATCTTCTTCTCTCACTCGGACTTGATGGTATCCTGATTTTAGGTCCACCTTCGACCCCCGCTCCACAAAGCTCATCTATCACTATAATAGAAAACTTATCTGGCACAGTCTCTTTATTCAGTGCCCAACAGTCCACACAAAATTGTTAGCTTCCATACTTATTTTTAACTAGTAGAACTGGGCTAGAGAAAGGGCTCACGCTTGGCCTAATGATTCCAGCCTCCAGCATCTCTCGGATCAACCTTTCAATCTCATCCCTTTGGATTTGGGGGTAGTGGTAAGGTTTGACACAGATTGATGATACCCCCTCCCTCAGCGTGATGGCATGCTCATGTCCCCTATGTGGTGACAATCCCTAAGATGACTGAAAAGCCTCACGAAATTGTTGTATAATTGATTTGTACTGAAAGAGGGATTTTCCCTCCTTCCTCCCCTCTTATCCCTTCCAAGCTTTGTAGCTCCGCTAGAAATCCTCCTCCCTTCTTCTGTATGGCTCTTACCATGTTTTTTAGTGATACCATGGCTTTGGAGAGCCCTACATCTCACTTAATCACCATCCTCGTCCCTTCTATTATCAACTTCATTATCAGCATCCCCCAATTCACATTGGTATCCCTCAAAGTTTGTAGTCATGTCATCCCTAGGATGACATCAGTGCTCCTCAGCTCCAATGGGAGAAAATTCTCCCTCACATGGATCTCCTATTTGGTCAAGACTACCCCTCTACCTGTCTCCATCATTCCTATCCCCATCATCACCCCATAGCATCCTGTGTGGCTGTGTCCACCAGTTTCATCCCCAATTGGTCTACAACCTAGTTAGAGATGAAATTGTGGGTGGTCCCACTATCTATCATCACAACTACCTTGTATGCTATTTCTTCTCTCACTTTCATAGTGTGATTTAGAGTGAATCCCACCACTGAGTTCAGGGAGACCTCAGTCATGTTTAAGTGAAGCTTTTTCTCCTCCATCGATGCCTCACTCCTACCTCCCTTCTCAGCTTCCTCGTCATCACAGACAGTTGAGAACATGAAGAGTTTGGTCCTTACAACTATGCTCCGACGTGTACTTCTCATCACATATAAAAACATAACCTCTTTGCCCTCTTATCCTGCACCTCTGCCTCTGTGAGTTGCTTGAAGTTCCCCGCGGGGCGAACTCCATCGCTCTTCTCCCTAGGTGCTTCTCTTTGGAAGGATACTATTTGGGTTATGGGAGCTGGAGTTGTAGGGGTACTCCGATAGGCCCCTCCCACGTGTTGCTTATGATGGTCTTCTCTCTCTTGTATTTTTCCTCCACCCTTTGAGCTAGCTACATCGTCTCTCTCTGCCCTCTTGGCCTCAATATCATTGGTTCTACCCATATGTCCTCTCTAAGCCCCTTCATGAAATTCCCCTCCAGCCCTTCCTCAGAGATTCCCCTCAGTCTCCCTGACATCAGCTCAAACTTCTCTCGTTACTCTATAATTGTTCCTTCCTGAGTTAGGGCAAAGAACTGCTCGTGGATGTTCCCTTTTCGGATGGCTCGAAAATGTTCCAAAAAGCACTCCTTAAATTCTCCTCATGAGTAGATCGGATACCTCGCCTCCCTCCATTGGGACAAGGCTCCCTTCCAAACATAAACCGGCCGCCACGAGTTTCTCCAACTTAGTCAGCCCATTGATGGTGAAGTAACGTTCCACTTGGTACACCCAACCTTGAGCATCATTCCCTTCAAAGATCGGCATATTAGCTTCCTTGCCCTCGCATCCATATACCATTGGTTTCTTCCCCCGTTGGTTACCCCAGTGTAGTGGTGGGAATTACCCCAGTGTAGTGGTGGTGTGATTCCTTTCCTGCCTCCGTTGGTTGATTTTGACCCCATGGCTCCCCCCAATCATGCCCTTCTCAATTACACCTCTCCCCATGCCAGGATAATCTCCCAAAAGGGTTGGCTTCCTTCCTCATTGCTGTCCTTCCTTCGGAATAACCTGATCCGCCCACAACAGTGCTCCATGTGGCGGTCCTTGATGGAAAATGCTCTCCAATTCATCACTGTCCTCCTGGATCTCTTTTCCTCGTGGTTCCACCCTAGGAATCGTCGACGATGCTTTCGATTGCATCTCAAGCATCTTTTTCATCATCTCTTCAAAGTTCCCAAAGTGGTTTTCGATGGCCAAGAGTCTTCCCTTCACCCCAGAATATTTTTTCTCTACTCCGGCCTTGAGTTGTTCCATCTCGCTCTCCAACGCATCCATATTCTTTGTTGTCATGAATTGGATCTAGGTTCCAATCATAAAAGACAGCAAAAAAAGAACTTGTTTTTTCTGCCCGAGAAAGTGCTCGATACCAATTTGATAGGAAACAAATGCAGAAATTGAAGAAACTTTGGCTGAAATTTGGAATTTTTAACAAGGTTCAAGCAGGATGTTGAGGAAAATCCCTAGGCAAAACACTAGGGAACTTGATAATTGATAAAAACGTAAAAGAAAACAAACAATATGCAATGGATCTTCAATTTCAAAGGAAGATCCGGCTCTCCTGCGGCTAGAGCCTAAACACTTAAGAGAAAATTCAGAAATCAGCAAACATCTCCCATAACTCTAACCATAATCCTTTCTCCCCTATTTAGAGAATACAAATAAAAGCAGAATTACTAAACAACCCCTCCCTAAATAATTTACCTCCTAAACTGCCCCTCCTATTTGAATTTTCCATCAATGCATGAGCCCCACAAAGGGGCTGGTTCCTCCCTGTTCCGCTAATAGACTAGGAGGCGACCTTGGTGTTGGGCCCATGCCGCCTTTGATGTTGTTATTGTTGTATGGAAAATGCCTATCTTATTGGTGCAGCATATTGTTGAATACAGTTTTATTAAAATAATACCTTCTCTTTTAAGAATATAAGAATATTCTAGCCGCGCATTCTAAATTCCATATTTTGAGAATCTATGTTTTCTTTGTACGAGCTCTAGTGGCATCAAACTTGCATGGATATTTCAGCTTTGCTGCAAGCAAAAACAAAAAAGAAGGTAGCACAAATTAGCTTGGTCGTGGACTAGGCTCCAAAAAGCACATTCCTTATCTTGCTCGGCTCAACTGTCTTGAACTTTTTCTTTGGTGGCATATGGGTAATTAAGCATATGATTATTCTCCCCATTTTTTAGGTAACCTTGGATAGAAGGGGATTGATTGCGGTGGCTGATAGCATTTATGCTTCAATTTGGTTTGCAAAACTTAAGTTTTGCTTTGAAATTCTACCCGTGCATTTAAGAATGCATTCATTCTGTATTCTAATTTCAATGTTTTAGTTTTCATCATTATTATTGAGAAATAAGTTCATCAATTTTTCTAAAAATAAGATACTTCAACGTTCAATTTAGATGATAACTTTGTCATTGTGATTAGTTATTTCTATTTAATAGTCTTTAAGTGCATCACCCTACCATGTTACTGCTTAATTAATATTATGCTATAAAATTGTTCTTTAAATTGATTCTTCTAAAGCAGCTAACCAAAAACGAATAAATAAAAAAATCTGAGGGAGCTTGAAAAGTTGGAAACATTCTATTTTTTTTTTTTTTTACTTTGAGTTCTTCATGTGACCTGATGTTTTACTAAGAAAACTCTTTTGCTTATGGGCCTTTACCCGCTCTCCTACTCCATCCAGAATTATCTAATACTCCACCAAGACTTATCTAATAGTTATGATTTGCCTTTTTTTTATCCTCTCTGAGCTCAGGGGAAAATCATCAATGGTTGCATTAGCATTTGGTGATCGTGCAACAAGTGACACTGTTGTCAGGCTAAGGACACATGAAGGTCGGGATGACTGGTTCTACTGCCATTCCAAAGTTCTCGTAGAGAAGAGCAAGTACTTTGCTGAGCGGCTCTCTGATGATTGGCCTACATGCCAGATAATTGATTCTCGTAACTGTGTGGAAGTCTACTGCCAAGAATTGGATTTTAACTTTCACGTCACTGCACTTCGCCTTCTTTATGTGAAAGGGCCTCATAAATGCTATGGAGTAAGAAATGCGCTTGGCATGCTCCAAGTTTCCATCCATCTGGGTTGTCATCAAATTGCTAGTGATTGCAAGGAGTACCTGGAAGCCGTTCCATGGGAGGAGGCCGAGGAAGAGGAGATTTTAAAGACGATTCCTAACCTTGGAGAACAATACAAAAGTATTCTCTCTCGTCTTCAACCAGTTTGCCAAACTTCACTTACTGGGATTTTCATCTCAGCAATTCGTTTTGCTACTTCATCTCCCCCTATATCCATGCGGGAACTGAAATCTTCTGCTCAGGAGCAGCTGGAGTACATGCTTACTGAGGATGACGATCCCCCTCTTTTTGCCTTGGATGATGAGTTCATAAGGTCAGTTGTAAAGGATTGTATTAAGAGGTTATTGTGCAGATTTGACAGTTTTGTAGAGTCGATGTTGACTGTATCAATTGATTGTGTTTTGGAGAGCAAAGTCCACGAATTTTGGTCGCATCTGTGTGATATCTCATGGGCTTGTCAGATACTTGGCAAGATGGAAATAATGAAGGATTTGGTGCATTACTGGTTGGAGGCATCTGCAAACATACTCAGAGCTGCTGAGCATGCGAAGTCAGTTTCAGATGACATGGATGTTGAAATTAAAATAGTTGAGGTGGTTTCCAAGGTGTTGGAGACCATTGGATTTGGTAATGCCATTGTTTCTACCTTGGGCAGAATTAGCTTGGTGAAGATTTGGCTTCCTTTTGTGCAGAGAGTGAGGGCTTTGTTGGAGCAGGATAAAATAATGAGGGAAGAAGACTCACCAGCTAAGTTGGATGGTGAAATTTGGCAGGGATTGGAATCAGCTTTTGTCTCAATCATTCTCACCTTACCATCATCAGACCAAGCGGGTATCTTATCAGATTGGTTGAGATCTGAATATGCTGGATATCCTGACCTGACTGAGGCTTTTGAACTCTGGTGTTACAGGACCAAGGTTGCCAGAAGAAGGCTTGCTTCTAGGTAACCCTCCCTGGTAATGGTTCTGGTTTTTTCAAATATATTTTTTTGAAGTTAACCTTGTTTTATAAAGGTTGAAGCTGATAGATTGGCGTGTAAAAATGCTTGTGTTGTGATGTTTCCTTAGCTGCTGCTCTTCATCTTGTCTTAATTCCTTATATAAGTTATCTTATCATATTTTTCCCCAGAGAAGTGACATGAAGGAACAGTTCTATGGATGGCAGCCAAAAGATTGAGGGAGGGAGGAGGGAGGAGGGAGGGATCCTGGTGTTGTATTTGAATTGAGCTTATGTCGCATTAACTCTCTCAGGGTTTGTAAAACTCGCCTTCAAAGTGTTAATGTTGGGGTAATTATCCAACAGTTATGGTGCCAGTTTTAGAAGGTAATTAACTTAAATATGCTTTTGGATTTTGTTAGAACTTGTAAAGCGTGAGTGGAGCTTTCTTAAGAAGCTATGAGGAAGATGTTCTCTTCTAGTGTGTAGTAATACAAAATCACATTTACTAAGAAGCAATAAGAAAATCGTCCCAAATGAAACTTAAATTCACAAATTGATTTATTTGCATCGGTTTCTATTTAATATTTTTAGTTTGCTTTGCAATTTTTGACAAGTTATCAATGCAGATTTTGCATATCACTTATAATGTGAACGAGATGTAGGTTTCATTTGAGACAGTTTTTTTTACTGCTTTATATAGTAATTTTATAGCACAAAAGTTTCTTAAAAGTAACAAAAAAAGTAGCCGTCAAAAGTTATCCTAAGTGAAACTTTAATGTAGGATAAAATAAGCCATCTCTTGAAGATATGTCAATGATGAAAAATATTAATTTGTCCTTTAAACTTAGGGAAGAAGTTTATGCTTATATCAATTCAGGAGGGAGTACTGATGAAAATTTGAAGAGTTGTATTGAAATAGTTTACATATTATTTTCCAATAGTGTCATATAAATCTAACATTACAATCAAATGCTATTGATTTAGTGACCCATAAATTCAAATAATTTCCTTGAAGAATATGTGTGCAATATATATGATGAATCTTTGAATCAGATTGATCAGACCCATTAGTTCTTCACCTAATAAGGGCCATCCCTACATGCATCTTCAATGACTTATGCTTGGAGGGAAGCGCACCTTTGGCTTTTGATCACTTGACACATTGGATATATAACTCCCATCTACTAACAAGCCACCTATAATAACCCAACATTTTATATAATTAAATATCATTAATGACCTATAATAACCCTCATGGAAATTTTGTATGCATGAAATCTAAATGAGTGTTGTGGTGCTGTACTTGTGAGTGCCGTGGCTCAAACCTCTCGGATTTATAATGTTTAGAGGGTAGCGCTACGGTGCTATAGTTTGGAGTGTTGTAATTCTGATCCTGAAAATTTATTTTTTTTAAAAATCATAATCCACTAACTCATTTTTTAAGTATATAAGCCATAACCTCTCATCCTCATTTGATTCATTGGCTGTGAAGGAGAGGAAGAGAAGATATTACAGTAGGGTTAGAAGAGAGGAGAGAGAAGTTCACTTTGTCAATCCTCCTAGTTGTAAAAGTTATTCTGATCATAGTAATAATCTGAAGCCTAACTTTTTTTCAAATGATTTTAAATTTTAGTTTTCTCTATCTCCCAAATTTGATTAAAATATATTATCTTTTTATTTAATGAACTTTAATCGCATAACTTTTAAAATATTTTCTCCAATTTTCTTTTCCTTCATCCACAAGCTCTATAGCCAACAAAACAAGATGGACCTCATTGGTATGTTATATATTTTATCTTTTATTAGTGAAATCTTTATTTTTCTTTGGACCATTGATGTTGGCTATAAAGTTGAACCACATAAATCGATGACCTATTCTTCTTTCACTTTAAGCTGAGCTAAAGGATTTCATTCTAAGGTCCTCCATATCTCCAAAATGATCTTTTAGGGGCGGACTCAATGTAGCTTCTCCAATAGGGTTACACTTGTTAGGGACGAAAGAGGCAGAGTATTTACGTCCCTTATTTAAAAATTAGTCATTGGAATGATGAATGCTAGATTGGGAAGCTTTGTTGTTGTGATTATTACTCTCGTTGACTATCAAACATGTATTCGTTGTGCTTGCAAGGGGGGATTTTTCTAACGCATAATGTAAAACTATTGTATGTTGAAGATTTTGTTAAATCTTAGCATTGCACAAGATTTCATACACACATAGATAAGATATCACAAGATGCATAAGAGTTTTATGTAGAAAAATCTAAGAAGGAAATATCATAAGGCATGACCTAGTTAAAATGATTTCATTAGGTAAGTGTAGGTTCTAAGGATTCACCCATCCCCCAAATTGAAAAGGTGGGATTAAAAAAGTATGAGTTTCTGGCTTTGTCTTATGTGAAAACGGTTTGACAATTTGATTAAGTAGTATTGTTTATAAGGTGGAGGTTTAGCGGTAACTGTTTGATGGTGATGAGCAGGTGGAGGCGATTCGATGACATTGCTCACAGGGTGGTAATTGATAAGAACAACTGATAGTTAGTACATCGTATGCATAAGATGGCTTCCGTCTCACTCGGCTACCAGCTCCACTCGCCTCTGCTCCATTTCATCTGACGTGCTCTGCTTTGATTATAAGCCGTCGGAACTCTGCTATTAATCCGAGACGTTCATATGTAACTAACTCCTCTTTATATATGAGCAAGTATTGTAGCTGCCGGAACTAAGGAAGATGAACAGTAACTTTTCCTAGCTCATTTCTTGATTCCTTAACTCCTTGCCTCTTCATTCTGCTTTTCTCTTCTTTGCAGGTCGAAGACAATGAGCGTCTTCATGGTATCAGAGCACTAGGTTTGCCTTATCACTCATGGCGACTTCTGCAACCTCCTCGTCATCTGATGTACCGAAAGATACATCTTCTGAAGTTAGCATTCCTCCTCAGCTGAAGTTTTTCATGTCTAATGTGAAAACTATGGTCACGGTACAGCTCACAACCGACAATCACCTCATATGGAAGTCTGAGCTGCTGAAGTTATTTACAGCAAATAACTATGAAGGTTATTTGACTGGAGATATTCCAAAACCCCCAAAACAGCTTCTCTCTTCTGATGGTTCAGTGATTATAAATCCACAGTACTCAACGTGGATGCTCATCGACCAACATTTAGCGTCTGCCATCTACTCCACCGTCTCAGCTTCATTGCTACCTTACATTCTTAATTTGGAATCCACACATCATATCTGGGCAACCTTGGAACTCCGGCTGCAGTCCACTCATCGCTCTCGGCTGCTTCAACTCAAAAGTGAGTTACATCAATTACAACTTGGAGAAGAGAGGAGAGAGAAGTTCACCTTTGTCCATCCTCCTAGTTGTAAAAATTGTTCTGATCATACTAGTAACCTGAAGCCTATTTTTATTTCCAATTATTTTAAATTTTAGTTTTCTCTATCTCCCAAATTTGATTAAAATATACTATCTTTTTATTTAATGAACTTTAATCGCGGAACTTTTAAAATCTTTTCTCCAATTTTCTTTTACTTCATCCACAAGCTCTATAGCCAACAAAACAAGATGGACCTCACGGGTATGTTATACATTTAATCTTTTATTAGTGAAATCTTTATTTTTCTTTGGACCATTAATGTTGGCTATAAAGTTAAACGACATAAATCAATGACATATTCTTCTTTCAATTAATTAAATTGAGCTAAAGGATCTCATTCTAAGGCCCTCCATCTCTCGAAAATGATCTTTTAGGGGCGGACCCATTGTAGCTTCTCAAATAGGATTACACTTGTTAGGGGAAAAAGAGGCAGAGTATTTATGTCCCTTGTTTAAAGATTGGTCATTAGAATGATGAAAGCTAGATTGCGAAGCTTTGTTGTTGTGATTATTACACTCGTAGCTATCAAACATGTGTTCGTTGTGCTTGCAATGGGGGGATTCTTCTAACACATGATGTAAAACTATTGCATGTTGAAGATTTTGTTAAATCTTAGCATTGCACAAGTTTTCACATACACATAGATAAGATATCACAAGATGCATAAGAATTTTATGTAGAAAAATCTAAGAAGGAAATATCATAAGGCCTGACCTAGTTAAAATGATTTCATTTATGTAAGTGTAGGTTCTAAAATGATTTCATTTATGTAAGTGTAGGTTCTAAGGATTCACCCATCCCCCAAATGAAAAGGTGGGATTAAAAAAGTATGAGTTACGGGCTTTGTCTTATGTGAAACCGTTTTGACAATTTTGATTGAATAGTAGTGTTTCAAAGGTGGAGGTTTAACGGTAACTGTTTGATGGTGATGATCAGGTGGAGGTGATTCGATGACATTGCTCAGAGGGTGGTAATTAGGCCTAGGTAGTCCAAAGATGGTGGCCAGACAAAATCCTCTAATTTAGGTCGTAGAGAATGGATGTTTATTCATAATTTTTTGGAGTAAGAATTTAGTAAATCTAGCAATTATATGATAACACTCGAATGGATAGCCCAAAATGATCCCATTGATCATGTGATAATTATAAATGTTTGATTAATGATGTCCGAGGTCAGTGATATTGGACTCATTGAATTCGTCTCATCAAGATACATGTTTTGGCTATAACCACACAAAATAAGGAGATAATTTGATCCTTCAATTAACGTTGTGAAATTTTCATCTACGCTTCAAATGATTGACTTAAGCTCATTTGGAGTTAGATCACTTCGGGTGTTGATTAATTTATCTCATAGAAACATTTAATTTGACAATAAGTTTACTAAGACCATATTTCAAATATTCTAAATTTAATTCCGAAAATTTCTAATTTAAATATTACGTCATGATCTATATACTTCACCAAACGAATTTTCGAGCGATGTATCAGTTATGAAGTGAGCTTTTTCTTCCATTAAGAACATTCAAAATATTGAATTAATTCTACTTTCTTCAAGTTATTGAAAAAATAATCACAATAAGGGAATTCCCATTTGACTTAGGTTTAGCTTGCGACACTTTTTTCGATACTTTATTTAAAAACTTTTAGTATAAATTTTTTTAAAATTTTAGACTAGAAAACTGTTCTAAAAAAGTACTAAAAAATTATCCCAAATAAAATAATAATCACACTAAACACTTTTTTTTATTTTTTTAGTTCATGCATGTGGATTATGCTTCCAAAATTATGGGAGGGCAAAAATAATTAGCTCGTTATCATCACCTCCCCCAAAATATGATTCATATTTTATTTAAGTTATTTATCGTTCAATGAGAGAGTTTTTATGCCCCCAAATAATCTTTAGATAAATTGGTACGTTATGTTTTAAATTTTTCAAACCATTTAAATTATTATATATTAAAAAAAATGATCTCATTGGAATTCTTAACGATACGCTCACCACGATAATGTGGATCCATGCATTATTTCTCATGCATTGCAGATAATTATTGATACGGCATCACAAAATTAGTTTGATTGGGCACGAATCTCGAGGCAAAAGCTAGTGAAAACTTCAAAAATTAATTC